TTACCCAGGGTGTCCCCAACAACAAAACAAGGCTAATAGAAGGTCGTAGAATTATAAAGTAAACAATACCACTTAATATTGGTTGCATGCCCTACACTTACAAAGTTATATTCACTGTAGGGTCTAGCTATAGCTTCGTTAGTGTTGGAATAATTACTGGTATTGAAATCGTCAGCATACAAAACTGTAAATTCCCGAGAGGTTCCTAAATGTCACTCTCCCAAGGTGATCAACCGTTGCAGCTTAGTTTTTGGAACTTTTCATCCACCGCCACCTTCATTTGTAGCTCCGGAGACCAAATGGAGTTGTGGTCCCATAAAGCAGTAGTTTACATGGTGCTCGTTGATAGCACATTGAAACTACAGCGGATCAAAGTTCTGCCCTACATGACTATTTTGTATTTCTCTATGACCTCCCTTCGAGAGATTGAACGGGCTCAACCAGTTTGGAATACGAATCATCAGTAAATGGTGTCAGTGGGGAAGACCTGCGCACCAGTCTGGCGTAGTTTCGCTTTGTAGAGTTTCAGCAGGACATGCTGGAACTTCTCAGTCCCGATGGTCGTGTGGGCTCCTCCGCTTGTATCGGGGGTAGCTGCGCAGGTCCTTAAACTTTCGGTATGTTGGTTAGCTTTGCGGGAGTCCGACTGTTTTACGAAGGTAGTGAAGTCCGGAAATCGTAGCGGAAGATGGACGATTTTGTATTCAGCCTTGGGCCATTGGCGTTAAGGTCGCCCCTCATTGCGACAACCCAACATGGCACTAGCAGTTTTTGGAAAATAAAGTATTTGTCAGGGAAACCCACGAAACTTGATGGTCTTCAGATTGGAACCGTGACCGCTCGAACGATAACCAACTTACATCGCTCTCAAACAACGTTCTCGGAATTCTGAAGACCATTGTAAACCTATCACTTCACATGTTCCCAGCACTATTTTGTCGGAAGCAAGTGCTTTCTATCTTTTGATCTCGGAACAGAGCGGACAAGGAAAAGTCGACCTTCCTTTCAAAACTAAAAAAAAAAANCTGTCACTTTCAGAGGTCGAATGTGCTGTCCAAGATAAACTTGAGGAGGCCCGAAGAAAAGGTTTACCTGACAGGGGTGAAGTTTGCGATGCTACAATGCTATTCGAGTCAATGCCATACACAAGAATTAGGCCTAAGCTCAAAGCAGAAATATAGGGACGGAAACGGGGGCCTCCAATACCAAAGGAGCGGCACAAAATACTTTAGACAGAGGGAAGTAGTGAAAACTGATAAGGACAACGACTCCTGCCACTCCGCGGATTTAGCTCTACGAAGAAGAAGAGTGGTGGGAATCCGTCAAAGAATCCGAAGTAAAACGACTATTTGATTGACTAACCAATTCACCACTATTCAGAAAAACGATTTCTACGGATCATGCAATCGCGATACGGTGATAGGCCATGAAGAAAAACCAAAATCCGAACAAAAATCGAATAGTTCAAATCGCCCGATATTCCCAATATAAATAAATAAATAACAGGTGACAGCAATACGCTAGTAGAGCTCTACTTTCCTGACATCATCTGATATACAGTGCGCAGTATTCGTGATGAGACCGAGGGCTTACGCCCGCCTCTCTCTTCCATTATTTCGTAATAGAAGCGATCTACAATTGCGTAAAGTTCCAATCGTCCGATATTCCCATCTGTTTATGTAGTTATTCTTGTAAATCTAATATCTAAATGTTTACATACACACCGATTAGGAGACGCAGCAAGTTCGAAGAATATAGAGGTTCCTTTTATGAAGTCATTCGTTCATACCCTTTGGAAGGTCTTCAAATCATCCTTCCTGGCCTGATGTCGGAGCGAGTAAGACGACCCTCAATCGGAAACCGTGATGTTCATAAATAAATAAATAAATAAATAATAAATAAATAAATAACAGGCGAGAGCAATACGATAGTGAGCTTTGCTTTTCTTAAATCATCTGATATACAGTGCACAGTATTCTTGGAGGGACCGAGTGCTTACGGCCCGCTCCTTTCAAGATCGATGTTTATTTCGTAATATAAGCAATCTACAATAGCGTATTTGATATTGTTGATGAAAAGCCACATGATATAGTTTTCACTATCTTCGTCGATCCCTTCTGTTTCCTATATTTTTTGTTCGTTCGAGCAAAGTTTGATTCCTCGACTTGCTTGTTCTCTATTTTCTCGGTCACTTCCCGTTTTTTAAGTTTTTCCACAGTAATGGGGGGAATACTTCCAGATACGGACAGGATCATTACGATTGACAAGAAGGTGTACAAACGTAATGAGAGCTACTCGGGTGTGGTGCGTTAGGAACGAAATGGTCGCGTCGCGGTGAGAGGGGCGTCGCGCGCGAAGGAATGTAACAGGATGCAGCAGTAGGTAAAAAAATACAAGAACAAAAGTACTCAGAGTAGAATTATGCATAAAATAATCATCGCATATCGACTGAGCTCTATGAAGAACGCTAGAGCTGCAATAACGGCGAATGAGTGGTGCGCGACAGCCGCGTGCGGCAAATCGATTACCCAAAATCGTTCCTAGCGCCCGTCTCCCGAGCTACTCAGGGCTTAGCCGAGCGGGTACGATGTAGGAGCTGTAATACATGTAATGGAGCACATGTGACGTGAGTATAACATTCTATTTTTTCTTCATTTCCTTTCAGAATTCCGGCTCTCTCGTTCATATTTGAATCGAACTGTTCCTCTAGATCCACCGCATTCGAAGAATCGCTATGGGTGGGTTTTGAACGGAATCTGTGGGACCGGCGTCATACACCTCAGGTGAGGTACTTTCGGGAATGCTCCTCTTTCATGGTTTTGGTTTAAATACGGTTTATATTGTAACCTCAGATTGACTATATGGCTGTTTACATGGTTAAAGGAGATCGGACAGCGCAGTACATTCATAAACAGGCGCTGTTGATATCAGATGTACGGCTGCTGTCTATGGAATCATCTGGAATCTTGAAGTGGGTGAATTTTCTTATTGCAAAGCGCTCTGAGAAGGTAATTGGCGTTGAAGAGAAAGTTGTAGGGAAAGAACGAAAGTTTTCAGATCTTTTGCGAGCTTGTTCGGGGTTTGGTACGAGTTCCTCGGTTGCTTCTCAAATCCACCTGTTTATTCAGCTGGTTGGTAAATAAAGTTTGAGCATTTATTCTATGATTGTTCTGTTTCAGGTTTTTCCTGTGCCATGAAATGCTCTTGAATACTCTTAATTTTTAGGTTGCGGTGAAACCTTCGAAAAAGTCTTCCCGCAGCCGGTGCGAGAAATAACGAAGGGAGCCACTCCATCACTTTTCCCCGGAATGCTCCACTGCCTTTCTCGATTTTATTTTATGACCGCTGGATCGACATTTTGATTACACATTATAATAATTTGAAGGGGAGAAAGAGCTGTACTCGTCGTTAACTAGAAAGGCAATGAGCTGTGCAGTTTGGCATGAAGACTTGTTAGTAATGACTTCATGTTGGAATCCAGGCTTCTGTGTAAAGAGGCTCTAGACTTTAGACATGCCCAGCTGTTCATGTTGTGCCCGTTGTGTGCTGCACATATTGCAGATAAATTGTTGGACAAATCCTGTAATACTTTGATATTTTTCTAGAATACTGTTTCTGTAAGCAATTAGCGGCAGTGCGCTGAAATGTGACTGATTAAAATCAGCTGAATGTTGTGTTAGTGGCCAATCTGACTCTCAGGAAATAGTGGGTAGGATTCGTTGCTCCTCTGCTAAAACAGGACTTTTATGGTGAACCATTTATTTCTTCTGACTATTCAACAATGATGGCCTGTTCACCACTGAAAATGCGCCAAAGAGCCAATGCCCCGTTTTCAAGAAAGGCGCGCATGATGGTTACAGTGAAGAATTTAATTAGTAGCCAATAGTGTACGAGTTAGCAATGCTCAGCACAATTCTTATTGGTTTATCAAGCACGCGCGGGCTCCGACCAATGAGAATCGCTCGAACGACGGGCAGCGGCGACGTTTCTGTGTAATCGATCCTCCGCACGCGGCTGCCGCGGACTATTTGCCTCGTTGTAACTGTTCTACCGATCTTCATAGAGCTCACTATGCGATTATTACTTTTGGCCTGATTCTACTGTTAGCTCTTTTGTTCCTGTATTTCTTACTTGCTGCTGCATTCTGTTACATTCCGTCGCGCGCGGCATCTCCCTCGACGCGGCGCAAAAATTTCATTCCTACTGCACCACACCCTCGCTCCACACTCGCATGGTGTGCAGGGTAGAAATAACGAACCCAATAAGTACATGAACATTGTGTAACTAAGATGTGTAACTAAGAGCCGCACAACTATTACCGGAGAAGTCATACTTGTAAAACTTACTTTGATCAAAGTGAGTAACTATACGTTTACTTCACTTGTTCCGAGCGTTCTAAGCACCGATGCAAGTCCAAACACGAAAAAATCTAATTCACAGAACTTCATTGTTTAATGGACATTAAAACTGACATCAAGATGGTACAGAGGATATTATTATAATACAGAGGAAATTATGTTTTTAACCCTATTAGAAAAAAAGGCAGTCTATTTAGAGGTACTTTGATATTCATACCGAACCTGTATAGTATAATGGAACCAGAATCATAAACCAGTATAATGGAGTATAATGGAAATTTTAAAGGAAGGTGGATAAAAAACAAACTTCAAACAAGAAACAAAATGATGATTGATAAAATTTGAATAAAAATGGATAACAAAGCGACTTCTAACAAGAAACAAACTGGGAATTTACAAAATTCGAAAAAAGGATAACACACATACTTCATGAATAGAAGAGTAAATAAAAAAGAGGATTGAAGAAAAAATATCAACAGAATACTATTTGATAGAATAACTACTAGTAATGAGGAAAAAATATCAAAGAATTACTATTGTACAGAATAACTACTATTTTACAGGATTGCTTCCGAAAAAAGTTGTCGCCATTACTGACCGTTGAACATCTGCTGAATCAATTATTTGGCTGTGGGCCATCCGAGTTGTTGGTGGACGCTCCATTGGGTTCCTGTGGCTGCGGTGGCAATGGATTTGG